GAAAATACTATTATGAACTATAAAAAAATTGCATTATGCATAACTGATCAAGCAAATGCCAGAAGACAGTATAAAAAAGAGAATACTTCAAAGAACTCCATTCAACTTAACTGCAAAGAAGCAACCATATAAGGCAGAAATTAAAAAAGAACTTCTACACATAAACCAAACTTCTACTTCTGTCTTGGGCCTTACAATGTAGTGACTATGGGGTATATTTGTTCCTGGGTCTGTGCACAGGACTCCAAATTTGGAGTATTTTCCATATCATTTTGGCAAATGGGAACCATCTAGATATATTTTCTCCAGAACCAGCTTTCTCTTAGTCCACACAGATTCTTCTTCTCTGTATCCAGCGTTCTTTTCTTTTTTCCTAGTTTTTTTGATCAATTTTTTTTTGGAGAAGGCAGAAAAAGAAAGGTAAGAAATTATCTTATTAATAGCTAAGAAGCATGATAGCATGATCCAGTTTACTATCTTTTCATTATTTAAGAAAAAATATCTTGCCCTGGATGGTGTGGCTCAGTGGATTGAATGCTGGCCTGAGAACCAAAGGGTCACTGGTTCGATTCCCAGTTAGGACACATGCTGGAGTTGCGGGCCAGGTACCCAGTCGGCGTCTAGCTGGAGGCAACACACATTGATTGATGTTTCTTTCCTTTTCTTTCTCCTTCCCTTCCCCTCTCTCTAAAAATAAGTAAAATCTTTTTTAAGAAGAATATCTTAATAGTTATCATTTTCAGGTTTTAAAGGAACAGAGGAAAGGAAAAATTAAACAAGTATGTATGAACAAAGAATTGCTTATTTGAATGGTGCATTGCTGATTCTAATTAATTTTGTTTTACAGAGAGAGAGTGAGTTACATCATTTTATTTTTAGGAGGTGGTAACTTACTCTTAATTTAAAAAAATAAAAAGAATATCGCATCATTGTATTGTGATACTCCACTGGAGTACATGTTCCCCCAGGTGGAGGTTATACCATTATATCACAGTGTGCTCTATAATGCTATGCTCATAATAAAAAGTTAATAAATGTTTACTGAATGCACAAATGAAGTATTGTATCAAAATAACAGGTTTGAATAAAATAGTAAAGAAATGCACTTTGATAGGAGGTTTGCAAAGTGTGTTAAATGGCTGCCTAAATAGGAGTTGTACATTCCCATAGAATAAACATTCACATTTACATTATGGGACTGGATATTTCAATTATATAACATATGACAGGACAAAACATTTATAAAAACAATATTTCTCCTCATATCTGTTTTATTTTCTTCATTAATTTGTTTATATACACCTTGCCTTGTTTCACAACAAACTTAGTACAGGAATTATAAATCCAGAGACGAGATTTATGCATTGAAATGCATGCCTATGTGCTGCTTAGTTGCATGGTTCACATCTGAGATCACGCCATGAGTCCGCTGAATAATGAAAGGAGCCCTTTTATCACTAAATTATAGTCCATTTGCAAACCATTTCTCACCTGTAGTGTTATTTTTCTAACCAGTTATTTACAAAATTTGTTGTTAGGTATTCTTACACAAGATGCCATGATAGGAACAGCTGAAAACAAATACACACCAAGGTGTTTACATTACTCAGATGATGATGTAAGACCCCTGGATACTACCTTCTCATAAATTAATATCTGGGAGTCCCCTTGGTAATTTCCTGCTCTACTAACCAAGGCAGTTTTGAAAGGAATATGTGGAAAAGGGAATGCTTACCCGTTACTGTTACTTGTAAACTACTACAAGCTTACTAGAGATTGATTCAATGATACCTAGTAGAGATGAAGATCTTCATACCTCATAAGCCAGCATTTTTGTTTCCAGATACATAGCTTCAAAGGACTGCTACACATGTGCATAAGAAATATTGCCTCTCAAATGGAAATGATCTAAATGTCCATTAAAAGGGCAAAAGCCAAAAATTGTATTTATTAGATCCATAAAATGCAATAACATGCAGTAGCTAAAAACAAATGTAATTTTATGCATTAACATAAATTCTTAAAAATGTAATTTCAAGTGAATAAAGTTTTTAGAAATTTTGCCTAGATAATATTTATATAAGTCAAGAAAACAAATAATTTTCTCTCATTTCATATATATTTGATTACATATGAACACATATATTTATACATGTATATATGTGTATATATGATTTTTAGGAACACCTAATTTTATAGGAAAATCCAAGACAGAATAACCAAAAAACCATTAAAAATTTCTAAAACTAGTTCATCCCAGTCTGTGGTGATCAGTCCTGCTCCAGACCTGCAGGCTAACATCTCACTCCACTCTCCACCTTCTGCCCAGAGGATGCCACCTGAACACATTGCTGTTTTTGCTTTGTGTTATAACAGGTAATATTTCTGTCACTACATAGACTTAAATAAATTGGCAGTCTCTTCCTTTGTACTGAGCCAGACTATATCGGTAAGCCTTTTCAGTCATGAAAATTTAAGTCAAATATCTAACCATTCAATAATTAAATAATAAGGATAATTCTGAATAACTAGCAGAAATAGCTGGGACATGTCCTACTAAAAGGCCATAGGCAGGGGCAATGGTGGTGAGATTATGATGCAAGTTTTCTATTTGCTCTTGGCTAAAACAGAAGACAGTGAGGATAAAGAGGCCCTCCTTTCAGGAGGGTCAAGGGCAGGCAATGCAGAAGAGTCAAGTACTGAGCGCCAAGCAACAGAGAGGCTCAGTGGGCTAGGGAGAGAGGGCTAGTGGGAATGGCCTGCGAAGGGGCAGGCCCACTGCCTATGTGTGCTGATATTCATTTGTAAATCTTCTTTTGAGTACTTTATTCCCATTATGTTATCTTCAAGCCTTGGGTTATGTCTGTCAGACACATTCACCTTGTATTCTATATTCCCTGGGGTCAAGGGAGAGAACAGAAAGCTGCAACCTGATGGCACGGTGAAACTGACACTGACACTAAAAAAAGCCAAGGGCTTCACAGCACAGAGCTGAGAATGCTGTGACCATTTTGAGTAGTAAATGGTGGTCCTGGTTCTCCTGTGGAGACAGGAAGTGTTAGGAGAAGAAGACAGAAAGTACTGTGAAGGTGAAGGGCAGTAGCAACAGCCGCAATAGAGGAGGTGGGGCCAGCTGCTGGATCCATGTCACCTGGCTTCTGGGGCACACGCTATTGGGACACCTGAACATCCAAGAGGTCCATCGAGGAGCATTGGCAAGCCTCTTCTTGAGAAAGGAGTAGGGGGAGGGAAGATAAAATCTCAGGTTGGTATCTTCTGGGCCTTTGGCAAGACAGAGGGAGAAACATGAAAGAAGAAATAGAAAATGCCTGAACTTTACCATGTTAGATGGCCTGGAAAGTCTCCTTCGCAGGTTAAATATTCAAAGATTCTATCAGTCAGTCAAAATGGCCAATCCAAATACATAGAAGGTTCACTTTGTATATGTCAAAATATGTGTTTCATTCACTTAGGTTTTTATTTTTTTATTTCAAAATCGGTGTTCTGTAGAAAGTAAAAATTAACTGATCCATTATGAACATAATTTAAAATACCAGGATTAATAGTGTTGACAAATTAGTTTATTTAGAATAAAGTGTTTCCAAATGTCCACGACAAATATTAAGAAATTTAGCAAATATATAATTTAATTTTAAAATACTAGTCATGTTGCCCTAGCCTAAGCTCTGTTGGTTGGAGCATCCTACCATAAACCAAAATGTTGTGGGTTCGATTCCCAGTCAGGGCACATACCTATGTTGCAGTTGATCCTGTTTGGGGCACATAGGAAAGGCAACCAATTGATGTTTCTCTCTCACATCAGTTTCTTTCGCTCTCTTTCTCTCTCTCTCTCCCCTTCCTTGCTCTAAAAAATGCAATAAACATATCCTTGAGTGAGGATTTAATTAACACTAATTATGTTTATACACCTTTTCTGCAACTTAGATAATGGGAATTCTTTTTAATCCCAAACAGTGCAAAAGAGCAATAATAAAAACAAATCTCTCTTTGCCAAATAAGAACTTAAACTTTGGCTACTTACAACCTATGAGGCTGACTTTATAATTTTTCATCACTCTTTATGCCTTCTCAGGCCACTTAACCATTTTTAGAAGTATCCAGTGCTGCTGATAATGCAGTATACCCTGCAAGTTCAGTCTTTGCAAATTGTGCCACCCAGGGCGATTGACTTGGTGAGCAAAATCTCCATGGTGACCTGGTCAGCTCCACTTAGAAATGTGAGCCTTCTACTCAAAGTTACAGTGTTTTTCCCCCTCTGTGTAGTATACAATGCAGTTAAATACCACCTGTATGTTTCAATGAACTGCAAGGTAATTGAGGGTTTGTATTTTCAAATACCTCTGATTCATCAAACCAATTAAAAATAAAAATAAAGATTTATGTACATAAATAGTAGGGAACACTTCTTTTCATTAGTTTGTTTTTTGGGAGAGGGTAGGTGGATCTCAAGAGAAAAAGAAGAGAGTTGGTATTCAAACATTATCAGAATAAAAAAATTGTATTTAGAACTGTCAGAAACTTACACACAATAGAATATTTTATCATAGATTCTGGCATAGAAGATTTCTAGAACCTAGAAAAACAGAATAATTCTGATGTATAGTGTATATAAAAGTATATATGCTCCAAGGAATATAAAAACAGCTAAGTGGAAAGAACTCTTTTAAAATGAGTGTTATGTAGTTTCCTTTCTGTTTTTTATTATTTTTAAATTGTTCCTCAGCCACCAAGTGGTATGATGATTTCTAAGCAGTGTGTACCTTGGGTGGTAGCTTCTTCTTCCCCTGTTGTCCACAGCAATAAAATACAGCACTCTGAAAGCTGAGCGAGGCACTCCCTTCCTATGTTATTTGTAAGCTCACATGAAGTAGACAGATCTTCTGAAGTTTTACTCATGCTGTGTTTTCTTTCTTTGCTGCAACAAGAAAAGCCTTTTCTTTTGACCTGGTTGTCTTTGAAGAAGTGACTCAGAAATCTTCATGGCCTCTAAAGGTAAGAGTAAATGTAGCCAGCTAATTTTTTTTATAGTATGACTAAAAATATAGAGTTGTGGGAGTATTATAATCAGTGAGGTTGATACTTGAAAACCTGTCATTTGTTTCTTTTGAATGCTGGAACTTTTAAATCTTTAAACTCCAAGGAGCATGTTGCATTAAATTAAAAAAAAAAACACTTTGATAAAATGTGAAAGTTAGGCTGTAAACAATGTCTTAGTTATCATAAATATACATGTAGTGAGTTAATAAGAAAAGTTGCATAGCAAAATTTAAAATGGGAATATTTGATGCCAAACACAAGGACAGGTTGATCTTCCAAGTTTAAAGAGATTTGAAGAAAACTTTTCATACATAAATTAAAAAGTATTAAAGTACAGTTCACCATTTTTAAATTTTTCATTTGTTGTTTGATCCAGCCATTTATCATAACAAATTCAACATTGGTATTGGCTAGTTCTAAAATTTTAGTGGACTAGAAATATATATTTCTGAACTATGAAGCAAAAATCTTTCAAAATTTCTTTGGTAGTAAATTATATATGCAAATAGAAAATAACTAATTTAAGCAAACATATTAACTAGGTACTGGGGCAGAGAGGAGCTGGTAAGTCTTTCTTCAAATCCCTAAAATTGTGTAACTATCATTAGTGTCTTACTTTTCTTACTTTAAAGACCTTCTCAAAAAGACAAGAGATGGGGTTGTTTCTTAGGGTAATGGTTTCCTCTATAAGGAAAGGGTAACCTTATTAAAAGCACATGTGAAGTTATATAAAAATGAACTTATAATGTGTTTTCATTTCAATATCAGAATGAGTCATTAAACTCTAAGCTATAATAAAAAGTTTTATCATGAAGAATTATGATTAGTGTGATTAGTGGAAAACTAACCTAATTACAAATAGGATAACAGAATCTACCAATTTAAAATATCCTAAATTAATTTAATGATCCATTCAAAGAAATGTGTATGTTAATTTGCTTTTCTTATCAAAATACACTTTGGGTGCAATTTACTGTAAACTAAAGCAAGGTAACTTTTCATTTTTCATCAACATTTCATGTATACCAGTCCCTGAGTATCACTGGGAAAGCTCAAACAAATTGTGAAATATAGACATGAGGCATCAAAATCACTAATTTTAATATGTGCACTTTGTTTTTGTACTGAAGACAAACAAAAAAATCTTGACAAGTTTTTCTTTAAGACTGACTCTAACACTTAGTCAAAACACTTCATCATTTTATAAAATAAGAGTTACAGAACAACTGTAGCCTGTAAGATAAAGAGTTGCAGAGTACTTGAAATATTTATAAGCTAGTTATACATTTTTAAAATAGTAGATAGAAATTCAAAGCCAGATGGAAATTCAAAGGAGCTCCTTCTTTATCTGGTGGTCTGAGTCTTTGAAGAAACTTGTGACTAGAAAGCAATACTATGATCAAAATGTGATTAATCTACCAAAACAGCAGTGATGGCCATTAATGATGTGTTCAACACTAAACTTTGAGGTAAAACTTCAGGTAGAAAACTAACGCTCCTCCTGCATCCTACTCAAAGTAACATGTGAAGTGGGTAAAACATCTGTGAGAGACCCTGCACTACTTAAAAGGAGCAAAAGTGAAGCATCCCTTTGAATTAGAAATTATGTTTGAGGGGGCAAGTAGGATTACCATTTTTATTTACTTAAAGATTGTTGTACACAGTTTTCTTTTTTTTCTGAAAATTGAGCTTTTTTTTAAAAGATTTTATTTATTTATTTTTAGAGAGGGAAGGGAGGGAAAAAGAGAGAGAGAGAGAAACATCAATGTGCAGTTGCTGGGGGCCATGGCCTGCAACCCAGGCATGTGCCCTGACTGGGAATCGAACCTGCGATGCTTTGGTTCGCAGGTCTCACTCAATCCACTGAGCTACTCCAGCCAGGCACAGTTTTCTTTAGATATATTTAAAGACATTATTTACAACATTGTGAATGTTCTCTGGCCCATGAAACTATATTGGCAGTGATCATTTTCCCGGGTAATACAGGCTTATTGGACATTTCACACACTTTGTAGGCAGTTCAATTGGCACCACTAAACCAAAGGGCTGTCTAAATACTGGATGCCATCAGAACTGAAGAGATATTTGTGTGGTCGGCAGTCCCCTGGATTAGTGTAAATAAACACAATTTAAGAACAGATTGGTATCAAACTTTGTTTTAAATTTGAGAAAAGCAAGAGTTTCCGGGACAATCACAACTGAACAAGAGCTATTCTTAAAGGCTCAATTTCTAATGTGAACTGAAATCCCAGATAAGAAAGCCAGTGATCTCATAATGGGAATCCCAACAGTCTCCACCTACTGAGGCTACTCATGAATAAAGACTTCGGACATGATCTGCCCTGGGCCCCAAGAGCTTTATTGTCTCTGGCTGGACCTGCTGTGAGGTCTAAGGACCCATAGATCTGGGCCAGGATGGTAGAGCCTCTTGCCAGACACTGAACAGCCTACTGTATTTTGTTAGAGCACACATAGTTCACATGATAAAATTAGAGTAATTCACTAATCTTTTTTATAACAATATTGACAAGGAGAGAGACTCTAATATTAATTGAAGGATAATATGTGAATAGTAAAGTGCATAATGAGCATCCAGCTTAAGCTCTATAATTTTAAGATAAGGATGCGCTTGTGTAACTACCACCAAGATGGAGATGTAGAACATTTCTGGCACCTCATAAAGTTTCCTTTCCAGCCAGTTACCATGTTCCTCCGCTCCCAAACAGAAGCACTGTTTTGAATTTTTTCATTAGGAACTAGTTTTCCCTAGATTGCAATTTCACCTGTATGTTTCTCTGAAAGTTGATGGCAGCAGCGTGTTTGGCACTAATGCTGGAGACAAGATGTCTGTTGCCCCTTATTGTCTTTCACTGTTTATTGCTACACTGGCCTTTAGCTTCTCTACCAAATCTGATGGAATGCCACATATCTTCCTCTCAGGTTCTGTTTAGGGCCCCATTCAGGCTCCTTCTCAAGAGCAAGAGGAGTTAGTTCTAAAGCCTATATCCTCTATGTCTGCCCAGATCTGAGAGAAGCTCAGGATGGGGTCTCTGTCGGGACCAGACTGCTATGTTATGGGTATGGGCCTCTATTTTAGTAGAGTCAAATGACGTTTGTTTCGATATGGTCCTAACCCTGAAGCTTGTCCAAATTCTAAATGCCACAAAGCAGCACAAATGGCCATCCATCCTCATCTATTCCTGCTCTCTTAAGGTTAAATAAATAAAGGAATCATCTGCTATTGTTCCTCATTAATGCCACAACTACACACAGCCTTAATGAGCCTACTATTACTAGAAACAGTTTATGTCATTGTCCAAAGGACCATTCCTTTGATGCCTATGTTCCTTCACCAATTTTTTAAAATCTTTGTCCAAGTGCTCATTCTGGGGCTATACCTGAATTCTCTTAATAATGGGGAACTTACTATCTACAAAGACAACTCAGTCCTTTTCTAAATTTATTTTTTACCAATTTAAGAGATTCAGAATACCTCCCCACACGCAAACACACACAACTTACATGAATGAGCATCAGTGCTGAAGAGAGACCATTCTAATTTATTGTGAATTATACGGACGTCATTCTAGCTTTAGTACTTATATGAGAGTGTTTGTTGAAATATTTGTGCAACTGTTACAAATTCCTTCTTACAGTAAACCAGAACCATTTTCCTTATCTTTCACACTCATCTGTCTTTAGAATAGTCTTAAGTATTTGCCTTTATTGTGGATGCTCTAATATTTGAAAATATTGTCATGAAATTTAATCCACACTTATAGTCATTCTAAAACTGCATAGTGTTGATAAACTAAATCAATGCACACTGATAACTTTTTAATTAATGAATTAGTAAAGATGAGAAATAAAAACATACTGACAGTCTTTGAAAATACCAGTATCTATTGAGGGAGGTATCCAAATGGCAGTCATATGAGAAGAAAAAGGAAAAATGATAGCAGAAAAAATAACTTATATTCTTCAGCAAAGAAGAATATTTTTGCTTAGACCACTTATTAGGGTTTATGCATAATTTTACACAAGCTCCAGACTAATACAGAGTAAATAGCAAATCTCCAAATTTCAGTCTTAGAGATCATTGAAATAGTAATATTTTTACCTGGCATTAACATAGAAAACAGGTGATTCTCTTAAGAAAAAGCCAAACATTATAGACATCCATAATTATTTTATCTTTTGTAATTTTGGGTGAGCTACAAAGGAATTCATTTTGTCAAAAAAAATTTTGAATGCTTTTCTACAAAATATTGAGAAATCCGAGCAAAATTAGATATTATATTGCTCTTAAGAAGCTCATAAAATAGTTATAAATATGCTCATAGTATATAGAATTAAACCATTAATTCTCAAATTATACCATCAGGCCAGCAGCATTAGCTTACCTGATAATTTAGTAGAACTGCAAATTACCAAGTCGTACCCCCACATCAACTACTAAATCAGAAACTTGGGGAAGGGGCCTGGAAATCTTGTTTTAACAAGCATTTCAGGTGGTACTGAAGCAGGGTGAAGAATAAGAACCACTGAATTAAACCTAGTCATAACAATACGATAGATAACACAAAATATTCCTGGAAATTATGAGGCACCCTCATAATATTTGGGGAAGGGAGAATATTCCTTAAAAGTCATAATTATAATGCATAACCTATGTCTAAGGTTATCCTTTTATGAGTAGAGAATATTTCATTCTTTCTACCATTTCTTTTCCTTTTGTAGTTTATATTTTTTTATAGAAGTTTTACAGGCCTTCAAACAATATATATTTTCTGACATTACATTTTTAGCCCAAATTACCCAACTTTTTCTCACAATTACTAGCTATCTTCTACATTCCTTTTCTCTGTTTTGGGGGTCACATGATATGACAGTGAGTAGGAAACCCTGAAGGAACAGGCAGCAGGAGAGAATCTGCCCACCAAATTAGAAGTAACAAGTACTATTTTTAAAAATGTCATTGTAATGGCCTAAATTTACATATAAGCTGGGATTTTGTTCTCTTGCAGATGCACAGAACCCAAGAAGCAGAGGTCCACCTCATTTTCTTCCTGGAGCTTCAGACCCAGACCACAGCCAGCACATCTTGCCTTCTAGTCCAGAGAGCCAGGTGTGGCAGCCAGGACACCCTCTGCCGGGCAGCCTCCCTCCTGGTCTAGAATATTTAAGCCAGGTGTTTCTATTTTTCTATTCCTGTAAATGTTTCTCCTTAAAATGAATACAAACTTGGTTTCTTGCTTTTCAGCCAAAGTTGAGGGACTTCAACAACTAACTTACTGCAGTGAGAAAGGCATTGTAGACCATGAAATTAAATTTTTTTTTATTTGCCATATTTCTATTTGGGGGAAGAAATTTATGTTTATTTTTATGACCACTTCTAGTTTCCTTGCCAGAGTAATAAAACTAAACATTTTTGATTGAGCTGTTTAGCACATTTATCTTCCTTCTGCTCATTGCTCAAAGTGCCAACAAATTTATCCTCCAAAAATCGTTTAATACGTATGTCTAAACATCGACAGCTATTTAATTAAAGAATATTTATTGAGTACTTGCTAAAATCAAAGCATATAAAAAGCATATAACCTAGTCCGTTCACTCAATCATTCTGTAACCTAATTGGCAACACAAAAAAAATGTTAACAAAAAGTGCCAGGTGGTGTGCCAAAGCCAGGTAACACACAACTGTGCTGTGTGCAGGTGGATAGAAGGAAAAAGGTTGTTATACTGAGCAAGAGAGTTCTGTAATGAGCTGAGAGTTTGTCTTCAACTGAATCTCAGATGGCAGATGCAAATCCAAGGGAAAGCAAACTACCAAGTTGATAATATTGTCTTTGACACTGTTGCATCTCTAGGTCAATTTGCTTGAAAAATCCTACTATTTCTTATAGTAATTAGTCATCATTAGAAGGTAAGCAGTGGTTGAAGCTGTTATAATAATCAGGATATATCATCTGAATTATATGACACGTGAATAGCAATTGTATGTATATGTTATTGCTGCCTTGGTATTTTATCCTACAAAAGATTAGAAATACACTTACACTAATATTGAGATGTCAGCACATCTGCTGCAATTTTCAGCTTGTTTGGCATTCTTTCAAACTATAAAGTCTATCTCCTTTATCAAAATCAAATCTCTGTGTTAATTCCCTTAAGGTACAAGAGATTTCTGTTATGCCTGATAGGGTTTAAGCTGCATGCAGCATATGTTCCTGGGAAAATGTTTATAATTGCAGATGCCTTCTCCAGAAACCCACTGGCAGACAAATGTACTTTAGAGACTGGGGAGCTCAGGGAGATATGTAAAAGAGCTAGGAAAGCTAACCCACCATCTTCCATCTGCAGAAAGGATCAGCTGTAATAGCTGACTAGAGTTGATTAACTGCTGCAAGCTGTTTGGGAACATTGTCAGACAAGGTTTTGCCAAGGATAAGAGTGATATACCAGTGCCAGAGGGCTGAGGTTTGATGATCACATATGGTCATCACATATTCTTCTTCCATCCATGAATGATGACACACCCGGAGCCAGATGCTTGACATGAATACATTTTCTTTCATAGTCAATAGAGATATGAACTCATCGGCTTCAGTTCTAAAACAAAGTCAATTTTCCAAAAATATTCCTGTGGTAATATTTTATAGAAAACAAAAATATACCACAAATTGGTAAATATTTTACTTCAAAGGTAAAGATAACTTATTCACTTTACACTAAAAGAACACATTTGTTTTAAATCACTATATATATAACAGGATGAATAATCATTTTAAAAGCTTTATACTACAAATCTGTAAGGGACATATATAGAATGAATTCATATGCATTAACTTTTATCTGAAAACCATAAGAATTAAGTAAAATTATGAACCTTTGGAAATAGTACATTCTTCTATAAATAAACAGAAAAATATACAAAAATATACAAAATTCTCTAAATTGAAAAAAGTAAAATTTTAAAATATCATCTACTCTCTTTTAATCAAGTCTACCCAATCACTATTGAGAATCTTTTTTTCCATTAACAATTTGTAAATATATTCCCAGGTGTTTGTGTGTGTGTGTGTGTGAGTATATGTATATACTTAAGGTTAAACCTTAAGAACAAAACTAATAGCTTCTCTTTCAAGATTAGATTAACATATTCATAATAATCAATAACATTTTTTCTACAAGTGTCAAAGGATAATATTAATTTAGTTACATATAAGTAAAAGAATTGAATTAAAGTCTACAAAAACATGTAAATACTGTTTATTTTGAAGTACAATTGACCCTTGAACAACACATAGGTTAGGCACAGAAAAAATCCACTTATAAATGTCAACTCCCCCAAGACTTAACTACTGATACCCTACTATTGAATGGAAGCCTTACTGATAACATAGTTAATTAATACAAATTTTATATGTTACATGTACTACATACTATATTCTTATAATGAAGTAAGCTAGAGAAAAGGAAATGTTACTAAGAAAATCATAAGGAGGAGAAAATATATTTACAGTATTTATTGAAAAAAATCTCTATATAAGTGGACCTGCATAATTCAAACTTGGGTTGTTCAAGAGTCCATGGTACATATATTAAATAAAATTGCTGATATCTGCAAACCTGATATATTATGCAGAAGAAGTTATTATTAAGCTCTATATCCAAGGCTGTCTGTCATTAAATACCCATTCTATAGCATTCATACTTTAGGAGTGCTTTACTTGCCCTGATACCTGAATATATGATTTGGTGAAGTTTAAACTTTCCAACAATTCCCAGTTCATTAATTAATAGCAAAGAATGGAAAGGGCCTATTTCCACTGTGGTTTATAGATGGCCTAGGACTACAATGAAACTATGAGAAAAACCAAAAACAAGACACTCAAGTGCAGGAGGTTTTCTCTCGGAGATAGATCAAATCAAATCAAATGCTTTACAGAGGATAGGGTGAATATAAGAGTAAAGGATAAAGAGGAAAGGCATTCAGAGGTTCCATGGTTTCACTTAAGAATTGTTTCTCCCAGTTTATTTTTTAAGGTTTTATTTATTTATTTTTAGAGAAAGGGAAAGGAAGTGAAAAAGACAAGGAGAGAAGCATCAATGTGTGGTTGACTCTCACGCGCCACTTAATGGGGACCTTGTCTACCAAGCCAGACATGTGCCCTGACTGGGAATCAAACCGGTGACCCTTTGGTTTGCAGGCCAGCACACAATCCACTGAGCCACACCAGTCACGGCTGTTTCTCCTAGTTTCTAAGATTAGCTTAGTGATGCCAGTACAACAGAGTGGAAAGCATATCAAAATTGGCTGTAGCACAGTCTGAGGTCAAGTCCCAGCCCAGCAATTTACAGACCATAATTCTTGAGCAAACTATTTAATCTCTCTGGGATTGTTTCCTTACATGTAAAACATAATGATATCTATCTCTCTGAGTTCCTGTGAGAAATAAATTAGGCACTATGTCACAATATCTAGCACAGTGACTACCTCAGTGCAGTCATTAAATAAACAACTACCATGATTAGATATTAGAGGTATAGTTTCCTTTTCCATTGTAAAATGGGCCTTAACTGTTAGCCTCTTAATTTCAAGACTAAGACTTGATCCATGACACTAATATTTAAAGTCCCTAAACTTAAACCTTAGTCTTGGCCCAATAGTTCTTCTGTACATGTTATTTCTACGTAGAGCTACTGCTAAATCATTATGAATAGCTTTTATGAGGCTTATGTCTTCTCATCCCTAAACCCTCAAATTCTCTCAAAATAAGAGACCAGAACTAACAACAGTACACTACAAAAAAAACTTATTCTAACTTTTTATCAAATTTATTAGGATGACATTTGTTAATAAAATTATATAGGTTTCAAGTGTACAGTTCTATGGTGCATCATCTGTATATTGCATTGTATGCCCACCACCCAAAGTCACATTTCCATCACTACATAGTCCACCACCTCTCCCCTTTACTATCCCCCCAAACGCTTTCCTTTAGGTACCCACCATGCTTTGCCTGTGTCTATGAGTTTTTGTTTGTTTGCTTGTGTTGCTTTCAGTTTTATATGCAATCATCTGTTGAGGGACAATTCACTTTCCATGTCTTGGCCACCATGGATAATGCTTCAATAAACATAGGGGTGCATATATCTTTGAGAATAAATGTTTTCCAGCTTTTAAGGTAGATCCTAGAAGAGGGGTTTCTGGGTCATATGATAATTTCATTCTTAATTTTTTAAGGGACATCCCTACCATTTTCCATAGTGGATATACCAGCTTATATTCCCACCAGCAGTAAATGAGTGTTGCTGTGTCTCCACAACCTCTCCAACACTTATTACCTGTCCTGTTGATAATAGTCATTCTAACAGGTGTGAGATGGTATCTCATTATAGTTTTGATTTCTATTTCCCCTAATAGCTAGTGAAGTTGAGGATCATTTCATATAGCTATTGGCTATCTGTATGTCTTCTTGGAAGAAGTATCTATTCAGGTCCTCCACCCATTTTTTTAATTGTTTTTTAATTGTTGAATTGCCTGAGTTATTTTTTTAATATCAAGCCTTGTTGGAGCCATTATTTGCAAATATCTTCCCCCATTTGGTTGGTTCTAATTTAAAAACAATTGCCATAATTGTTAAAATAAGTTTTATACTATGTTAAATCATAAATTATTTTTGGAAAATATATTTTTGAATCTTAAGAAGGCCATATGCTTACTTTTATCAATAATAAGATTTGAATGAAGGAATGATATTAGCTTTACCTCCACTTCAGTATATATAAGGAGAATGAAAGAAATAATGTAACTTTCAATTTTCTGGGTTTGTGATGTCCAATCAATGCCAAATATTAGTAATGAGAGTTACATGTGAGTTTATTAATGTGAAAAGAGAATAAAGTAAATTTTAAGGTGAAATAGAAAATTAAATATTAGAAATAACAATGACCAGCATTATACATGTTCATAACTTCGAGTACTGAATGTCAAATCTAAAGTATAGACAAATAAAATTCATTCTAAAAACATGTTTTAAATTTTTCTTTAAGAACAATTTGTATTGTCTGCTTTTATAGTCATTTCACAATTGTGTGGATACTTTTTACCTTGTAAATTAACTTAATTTCTAATTATATAAGGCAAAATTTACCATGCATTTTGTGGCATAACTCTTATTCTGCTTCAATTTTGTCAACATCAGCAGGCTTTTTTCCCCTAGTCCAAAGGAAGGTGTGAATGAGATAATTTTTCAGAATATGCCCTTTCAGCTGTAACAAAGACATAGCCTCACTGTGGGGCAAGAGCTACAGCTTGACAGAGTCAAGTTAGGTGGAGCTGGGAGGGGAGGCCAGACATTCGGATCCTTGTTGTTCTGTTTCATTTCTTTAAAAAAAAAAAGGTGGGGGAGTAGACATTTAAAACTTTGCAAGCATTATTATTTAGAGATTGTTTAAAAATCTTCTCAAAGTATTGTTTCCAGCAGCTACCCTTTTATCCATTAACACAGAAAGAGCACAGAGTTAACCATAGTTTCTATTTATATTTTGGGCGATACTGCCTTGGAATTTTCAGGGTTCTTGTAATTTTTTTATTTTTGCTTGAACAAGAAACATTTTACTTTCATTTTCATTATAAAATGTGAGCTGTATTCAACTGTTTCGATAATAGAGAACATGAAAATCACCTACACATAGTCTAGTAAACAGCTTAATTATATCTCCAAAAATTTTCAGAGTTGTGATGTAATACTTTTTATTTCCTTTATGTCCTCCTTTAACAGTTAGAACTCATCATTATACACCAGCAGGTGGAGCTTCTTGGAAGTAAGTATATTCTCTACTTATTTAAACTGTTGAAAATGTTTTAGATTTCGGAAGGTTCTCTCCATATAAATATTTTATAAAGAATCAAGTTAAACGTTTAGAATAGTTTTAGGTTGAAAATAGCATGATTTTATTGTATTAAAATAAGCATTGTACATACAATTATTAGTCAGACATAAATAAACCTAAGAGCATAAAACTCTCCATGCCTTTGCTGATATTGCCATTAGGAATCTAACATTATTTTAATCTTAAAATTTTAAAAAATGAGATGATTTCCTATGGTTGCTAATATTTTACATTTTCTTAATAATCCCTGAAATGAAAATCAAATTTGAGACTAAATTTTTAAAAATCCATGAAAACAAGTAGGACTAACAGAAATCAAATTAGTTGAATATTTTTTGTTCTTCTTGTGCTACATTATTTCTAAAATATGTCAAAATTGAAATAGCAGGATAGCATGCAGTCGTAGATATATTACCAGATAGATTTTAGACTAAATTCTATCATATGAGTTGCCCCAATAAATTTCATATCAATGACACAAGTATTATTATTTGAGCATTAGATTATTCTTTATAGCATTGCTTTCTTAGCTGAAAAGTGGTATTGCACATTTCCAAGTAGATCATGTATCTAGTATCAACATTTATTAAATGCACAGCTTTGTTCTCTGAGTTTACTTTGATTTCCATAGAGAAGTCTTCAAATTTTAGAGCACAGAAGTAGACTTGTGTGAAGAAGTTACCATATTCTTAATAATTAATCTGTCACTGTGTTTCTAAATAACACTACCCCTTTTATTTGTTTAAAGGTATGATACTAAGCATTAGCATTACTTTGAAAACTGTTCTTTTTTGCCCCATCAGTGATACTTGGCACTGAGACCTCAAACAAATATGAGATAAAAAACAGCTTGGGACAAAGAATATACTTTGCCGTGGAGGAAAGCATCTGCTTCAATCGGACTTTCTGTTCCACACTGCGATCTTGCACTCTGAGGATCACAGATAACTCGGGTCGAGAGGTGATCACAGTAAACAGGCCCTTGAGATGTAACAGCTGCTGGTGCCCTTGCTACCTGCAAGAGGTCAGTCATTGGCTTGGTGTGCTTTTTTTCTCCTACCTTTGAAAACATTACCAATTATTTCTTTAATAAATGGCATTCATCTGGAGCTATGGGGCAATTAACATTTCAATTGTTTGAATTAGTAGTTGCCCCTTTTGAATCTGAACAGCTTGAGGATTTGGTAATTCACTGAATTTTTTTTCCTTTCCAACCAAAAAAAAAAAAAGGTAGTGGCTTCTATGATGTTAATTGGTGAAGACAGCTCATGCATCATGTAAATGAGACACATCTTCCTGAATCTTGTTATTAGCATGTTATTGTAATATCTATGAGTTTCACCATTAAGCAATCTACCCTTTGTCCCTTTGTCTTCTCTTGCTGTAGCAAAAGTTCAGAAAGTGCCAAGTGATACTGAACTCTTCCAAGATGTTCTCTCTTGGTTAGGTAATACTGTTTAGTACAGAATGTCACATTGTAGTCACTTATTTATGACAAACATCAAGGTTTGCGAAAGATAATGTTATTGTTCTATAGGGAATTATTCAATTATTTTATTTTAAGGTATAATAGATTCCATTGCTTTTTGATGGACCTTTAATAATAACTTTCAATGACATAATACAAGTGATAAATAACATTTACTTAGTTTTATGTTATTGATATCATGACATCTCTATGGGCTAGAAAGAATAGGTTTTACTATCCACATTTTGCAGTAGAGGAAACAGGCTTAGAGGGTGGAGGTGACTTACCTATGATTACATACATAGGAAATATAAAAGGGACTTGGTCCAGATGTCTTTACTCAAGCCTAAGTTTTTCTGTGAAGGGCCTGTGTATAAGTACTCTAGAGCAATGGAAATAAATATTAACAGAAGGAGGATAACTAGGAAAGTTTATTCTTCAACTATTCATAGCTAGCTAATCACCTGGCTTAGTGATAAGATAGCTAAGGTACTCTTACGTGGAGCCCAAGAATTTCCATCCTCCTACTGAGAATATTTAAGATCTAATATGCCCCAACATGGTATAGTCAGTATAATCACAGAATATATGCCCATTTGAATATTTTTGATAATTGATGTTTTAATTTATAGTAGCCAGTATCACATAAATTAAGCATAAGATACATCTGGATACCCACTAATAATTTTTAAAAATTTGTCATAATCAAACCAATAATTTTAAAAGTGATCCCAGAACAATTCTATATAATTTTAGGAAGCTTTGTTGAAACCACCTTTGTGTATCCAAGAATATGATAGACATTCACAGAAGACTATAAACTGAATAAATAAGAAAAGACAAAATGAGATCTGATGATGGTTAGTTTGATTTAAAAGCCAAAAATTTTTATTATAGCCCTGGCTGGCGTAGCTCAGTGGATTGAGCATGGGCTGCCAACCAAAGTGTTGCAGGTTTGATTCCCAGTCAGACCACATACCTGAGTTGCAGGCCATGGCCCCCAGCAACCACACATTGATGTTTCTCTCTCTCTCTCTCTCTCTCCCTTCCCTCTCTAAAAATAAATAAACACAATCTTTTAAAAAAATTTATTATGTGCACCCACTTCCAGGTTATTTTACAAAGGATTGATTTGGCTACATAAACCTATTGAAATATAATATGATGAAAAATAAAGAAATTATAATGAAGGGTAATGGGTAAAATACTAACGTTTGAAAATGCGGTTGCTAATCTTTAACACTTTGGAAGAAGTTAAACAATGATTACATTGGTGTGTAATAATTGTAACTCTGCAGAAGCATTTGCTTTTAACTGAACACAGAGAAGCCAGAAGTTGACAGTCTAGAGAGAAAAAATTTTTTATGCATACTTAATAATTGATAAATAAATACTAAAAATAGATGTGTGTTGTAGCAACAACTGAACGGAAGTAGATATTGAGTCCCTCATGAGAAACAGCTTCCCATGCTTGACCAACTGTTGCACTTGGAACAAAAATGGCAAAGAAGCCAGTGTCCCAGAGTCAGAAGACAGGTCTGGGATAGGTTCTCTTTAGAGAAGATCAAAGACTTGGGCATTTAGTGCATAGTGCTAAACATATACAGTGAATTTCTTAGTTTTTATAAAGTCTGAAAAAAACAGTGCTTTGCTTCCTTAGAAGCAGATATTTAAAATCATTTGTAGCATATAAAAATAATTTCATTAAAGTATATTGTTCGAAAGTAAGTTTATATTATAATAAAATTAAATTACAATAAACTTAGAAATCTTACTTGATTATTACCTCTTCTTACAGTTAGAAATCCAAGCCCCTCCTGGCACTACAGTTGGTTATGTTGCACAGAAGTGGGACCCCTTTCTGCCTAAATTCACAATCCAAAATGCAAACAAAGAAGATATTTTGAAAATTGTCGGTCCTTGTGCAACATGCGGTTGTTTTGGCGATGTGGATTTTGAGGTATGATTGACAAAATGAAATTTTCATTTAGGTCTTGATTTTTTGCAACATAACTCAATTTTTTAAAATGTTCAAAACATAAAAAAATCTCTGGAATATATATTATTATAAATATAGAAATATATTATTATAAATATAGAAATGTCATTAGAAAACAATATATTTATGAATAATGTAATAAGCCAATATTGCACATGCCAATAGGAACTCATAATTTCAGAAATACTAAATTCAAGATTTTTTTAACATACTATAAAAAGTTGATTTATGTGGCAGTATAGCACCTAAAGTATAAAACAAATATATGTACTTTAGAACCACATAAATTATATCTTCTTTCCTCTACTTCTTGTGGTAATGTACTCCAGTTCAAATCTCATCTCAGAAGCATATTCCATTAAAATATCACTTATTTAAGAGTCATGTTCATAAGACTTGATAACTTGTTTTGTAAAACAATCTCTCACATAAATGAATTTGTGTACATTGAATGTTAAAAAAAATAGGTATCTACGAATTCAATCTCTATCACTATGAAGTATCTTAACAGCTCCTCCTAGAAGTACCTTAGGCAGAGGAGATGGTTTGATTTAAATAGTATATTTATTTTTTATTCATTCATTCATGTACATCCATCTAGGACATTCAGTTTGTAGAATTTTAGGAAACACCATTCACATTGAGTACGATGCAAATTTTGCAAAATGAGCCGTACTAACCCCACTCTATTCCAAGAGGACTTGGCGTGGCTCTCCTAAGAATAAAGTATTAAAATATGCCCTATAATCAAGGAGAACTTAGACATAGAATTTTAGTATTCCTGGTATAGGGATGTTCTAAGTAACTTTCTCTATTTTCTATCATCTACTGATATGGCAAAAGTGAATGTTTTTATTGAATTATTTTTTGCTTTTGAATGGTAAACAGGGCAAGCAAATGAATAGCTGATAAAGTTTAATTGTGGCTTATTCTAGCTGAGAAAGATAATAGATTTTTTTTAGATCAAATTAGCCTGAATTTCCTGTGTGATATATTAGGGCTTTTCTAATGCAAAAATAGGATTTGTGTTTGGTTATAATGGAATGATCTAGTAAATGTCTAAGTATAATGTAAAAATGAGATTAAGCAATGGTTAGTAATATTTAAGTGTGTTTGTAACTATAAAATCTTAGCCGTAAAATTTAAAAGTTAACAAATTATACCTTCAAGTGAAGCTAATTCCTTGTAAAACCTTTCTCAAACATTTTTTCTTTTTTCTCTTTTTTTAATTAACAGTTACAGATGTCCCCCATCTCCTCCCTTTGCCCACTTCCACCGAGCACCCCTCCCACCTCCACCACGTTGTTTCTGTCTTCATAGGCCCTAGGCATAGATGCCTATACGTTCTTTGGCTAATCTCTTCCAGTCCCTCCCACCCTCTCCCCTCTGAGATTTGTCAGTCTGTTCCATATACCCATGCTTCTGCTTTTACTTTGTTTGTCAGTTTATTTTGTTCATTTTAAAATCTGGACCTCTAGTAAAAAGAAATTACCTTCCTGGTTAGATCACATAACTGAGACTATGTACCTGCTGCCATCTTGTGGTCAGCTGGCTTTAATTATTTATTGCTATTATATTCTCCATTTGTATATAAAAAAATTGTGATAATTAGAAAACTGTCAGAAAAGCAAAATTCCCGAAGAATGAACTGCAAAGTTAAATCTACCAACTTAGGCTTATAAAAAGGAATGAACATCATATTGTCATAGAGATGATAAATAATATAATTCATATCTCTCATGAAGTAAACATGTGAAGAAGTCTAAAACCATCTACATCCCCTTCAAATTTTATACTTCTGATTTTCTTTCTAAAGGTGAAGACCATGGATGAAAAGCTTACAATTGGGAAAATTTCAAAATACTGGTCCGGGTTTGTAAACAACGTTTTCACCAATGCTGACAACTTTGGGATCCACGTTCCTGCCGATTTAGATGTGACCGTCAAAGCAGCAATGATCGGTGCTTGTTTTCTCTTTGTAAGAATGTAGCTGATTTATCTCTCCCCTTTTCAATTGCCAGTTACAAACACACAACATTTACCCCAAAGAATAACTGTGGCATAGAAGCCTGCTTTAGGACCAGCATTCTTTGCAGTGAGGAAGCAGGAGCCTGCATTTCTGTGAGGAAGCCCTTTCTGATCATTTCATCAAAACCTGAGATTCTTTTCTCTTTCAACTTCAACTTAGATTTTTGGTTTATGTTCACATTCACTGAAAAATATGTAAATATGATCATTTATCCTGGATAAAATTCAGGGTAGTTTCATTGCTTATCAATGAGCTAGGTAATGTTCAGAATGTGAAAGGTGCCATTTCCTTACCCTTCTGATAGGTACATAGATACAGGAGATGATAGATTTACATTAATATGTTCCAGTTTCCACATTACAAAGACTTTATGTCTCTGTCCTTTCTTTCCAACTTCCAACTTTACTAACAACATTTTCCTCCTTGGTGTGGAGGCTGGTGGCAGAAAAACAGAAGTCTAACAATATCTGTGCCGAAGGAGCAGCTGTCTCCTGTCCCAGTGTCCCCTCCAGCATCTCATTCACTGCCCAGTGTGTTCAGTGCACTCACGAAAATTCATGGAATTTAAAAATAAACCTACATTCCACCTCTCATATCTTCTTGTTCTTCAGGGTTTTGGGGCCCTAAATTGTATGGTTATATTAATGTGTGTTGCTATGGGGAAGATAACAGGCCCTGTTTATTCAGTCTCTTGTAAAAAACACACGTGAGATATATTAACTAAAAATAAGTCCCTAGTGACATCAATGATGGATACTTAGTTTATTACAGAATAAATAATTACATATATATAATCTCTCTAGAGAGAGAGATTACTTTGTCCGAAACTCAAGAGGAATTATTTGAACTTACTGGTTCCTTATGATAGGTAGAAGGCAGAATTTGTATATGTAGAGTGCTAGGTTTTTATCCTTGCTGTGTGGTCACTTATCGTCAATTCCCATTATCGTCTACAAATATAATCAATCCCAGTCACTCTTGCCTGTCTCCTAACATGGCTTTCATTCCCTGCTCTCCTCTCTTCATCTGACAGGGCTGTCAGTCTGCCAGCTCCCGCTCACCTTTTCCGTTTTCAACACTCTGCACTTCAACACCAGTCTCTCCAAGTGCACACATGTGTGCACACGCGCGCACACTCACAGTCTCTTCCCCAAACTTTAATTTGGCCATTTCAATGCTCCCTGTGCTGAGTGTGCTGAGGCCGTCTTTAATCTGTCCTACCCAGCTCTGTTACATAGCGGGCTGATGGCAATCACGTGCTGTCAGCAATCCCTACACTCCATGAGTCCGATCCCCACCGACCTGGATAACACCCCGATCGCCCGAAAGACAACTTTTAACTCCAGAGTCTGAGAGAGAAACATGCTCACTGAGAATATCTAATGATGCCCACCCATTTCTTCTTTTTCCTTTTTACCACAATACTAGAAAATATTTGCACTGTTTGTAACATATCTTTTAAAAATTTCTCACATGTATTACCAATATAAATTACTTACATTATATATAAACTGATAGGAAGAATTACGTTTTTAATTTTTAAATACTGTCTCCACTTTATTGCCTTGTTGTAAGAGACTTGAAAAAGCTGCTAGTGTGAGGACATTCCCTGATCCAAACAGCAAAATTCTGAAGTACATCTGGGTTTTGTCCTCCTGTGGTTTAAGCCCACCACCACACCCACAGCTCTAACCTCCTGCCTCTTGAGTGCCCTCTGTTTTCGGTACCTCCTTAGGTAACTATCTAGCTACTGATCAGAGGCTGTGATGACATATCTAATTCTTGTTCAAAGACCAGTGCCTATTACAGCTTCCTGCACTGATCTGGGATATCCTACAATCTAATTCTGAAGCAAACTTTGATCATCCACATTTTGACTGATAATACCATACTGATTCGGGTAAGGTTTTCAATTATTTGTGCTCTGAAAATCAGACATATGCATGTCATAAAAGTTACAATTTCTACAACATTTTTCTCCTACTGGAAAAATAAATCATGTGTTGCTGGAGCACCACAAGGAAACTGCTATAAGAAATCAAAGCTTACACATGATACTCTTGATCTTAAACTGTTACCTTTTTGTAAATTCACTTACATTCAGTTTACTTCTTTGTAGGATTTTATGTTCTTTGAACATTCACTGGCTGGATTATAACAAGCAAGATGACAAAAACAATAAAATACGCAGGAGATATTTTGGTAAGTAAAAGGCAACTTTAAATGATTTCTTTCCCTTGAAGATATTGACACTTGATGCTAATTCTTTTTCATTTTCTTCTAGAAACCCTTGGGCTTTGGATTTCATTTCTGAATGGTTTGAGTATTTACTCATTTGTAACAAAATGTTAATTATTATATTTAATAAAGCATAATGCACTGAAGGAATGATTTGGTTGTGAATGCATGAGAGCTAAACACTAGATTACTGGCTCTAGCACAAGGTTACTTTGAGAGATTACCATTATTCCCTTTATTCTTTTGAAGTTATTGCATGGGTAAGCATGAAAGATGGGAACTAAGGCTTCCAGCATCACTGATGAAAATTCAATGTTTAGAGAGTACTTTGAAGTTTTTCTGGTACCAAAGCTGGTTACTAATCAGAAGAACTAGATTTCTAAAATATTCTTTCATAAGCAGTCTCTATTTTTACTTTATTGATCTGCTTATTGTAACAAGACATTTTTATTTTATATTGGAAAAACTAAAAATTGGTTAATAATGTTTAAAGATGAGAAGGAAGATAGAGGAAATCAATTTAACTGGTATCACCTGCAGCTGGGAGCAAGGGTGTCAGGGGAGGGAACTCAAGTTCTGTAAATAATAGGCATCACCAGTGTGCTAGTCATGTCTCTCAACTTGCCGTATAGACCTTCTGAGGCTCCCCAGGTCTCCCATTTGCTACCTTGCAGAACCATGTAGATACTTTAGTATTTGCTAAAGCATCAGTTGCTAAAGCAGCATTTAGTTGATGCACAGTATTTCCTCCATTTCCCCTTGATCTGTTTTAAGTGAAGTGTTTATGATTTACAATCATTTATAACAAGCAAAAGGAGATGGTGATTTTTTAAGCTGATGTGTATTAAGTAATAAAATGGAGGAAAAAAGCTAACATTTTTGAGGGCTTATTTAATACACCAGGTGCTACATTTCATGTAAATTCCTGGTGGGGTAACAGAACGACATGGAAACAAAGGAAAATCAGGTAGTAAGTGGAAGACCTGTGCATGTCACACAGGTTCTTCCCAAGGATGATGCTTTTTTCATAGCTCCCTCTTGCCTTTTACGTTTGAGTTCTAAAATGAAAGATTTTTGAAACTGATGTCATAATAGCAGCAACTGAGACTTTCAGGCAAGGAGAAAGAGAACACCACTTATAACTGCTTCATTTTAACGTGACAAACTCTTCCGGATTTTCAAAAATTATCTAAATGAACCCTAAAACTAGTGAAAAGAGCTACTTAACACCTAAGGAAAAAGAGACTCCACCAAAATAAAAATCCTTCTGAGAATATGACACACATTTAAAGTTGGGTGTTTTAAATAAAAACTGACTGTGGTACTTTGCTCCGGAATTGGCATATTAAACAAATCCGTTCTTCCCTTCTTCAGTAAAGGTGAAATTGACCTTTATACATCTTCTATGTTCTACTTTTCCCTGTGTCACCAAACATGAGTCAATGAGACACTAGAGAGACTCTCACTTTTCAGTGAAATTTTCAATGAGCAGCTCTAGAATGAGGTGGGCCCTCTGTTCACCACTGCCTTCCCCTGGCCCCACTACACCCTCAGAACACAAGGTCTAATAGTATTCACTCTGAGATGTACTGAGAAGACCTGACCAGATTTAAATGCCTCCCATTCATTCATTGCCTTATTAATTTAATATTTATTGGCTCGTATGTTTTGTATATGACAAAAATATAGTTCCTCCTCTTATGGAACTTATAGTTTAGTTAAATAGGTAGCTATTAATTCAATAATCACACAAACAAAAGTTGAACTTCAAACATGAGAAGTGTTTCCAGGAAATAGACAAAGGACAAATAAGTAAGGTAGGGATATTTGACTTGGTCAGGCAATGAAGGACTGATGGGGATTTAACATATGAAGAATAGGTAGGAGTGGCAGGGAGAATGTTTTAGGCTGAAGTGCTATCATTTGTGAAAGTTTTCTTGTGGGAAAAAGGAGACATGACAATCTCAAGTGACTTGAAGGAGGCCAGTGATTAAAGTTCCAACAGTGAGGTGGAATGCGGTACAAGGTGAGGATAAATGGGGCCTATAGGCCACGTCAATGATTTTAGCAAAACATCTGATAAAAGTTTCTATGGAGAGATTTGATGGATTAAAAATAAGATTGGTGAGAGGGCTGCAGGGATGCTGGTGGACCAATTAGTAGGTTTAGGTGACAACTAATGCAACGTGGATTAATGTGTCACTCATGTAAAGGGAGACAAGTGAGAAAATTCAAGATATATTTAGGAGGTAAAATCACCATTACTTGATGCTGAGTTGAAAATGGAGATTTTAGGGAAAAGAGGGATTTCAGGCCTATCCCATTTATTGACAGAGAGAACATTAGAAGAGGATCTGTATCAGGGCTAAAAAAGGCATGGGTTCAATTTTAAACATAATGAGCTTATAATGCCTTTAACTCTTCCAAATAGGCAGGTGGACATCTTTTCATCTAGTGTATTTGTGAAGAAAGAGATAAGTTTGTGAGAACTATATGAACCCACAGAGATCTGAATATCTGAATAATCACTGGTTTACTTCAAAGATGTCCCTAACAAATATTTTTAAAATTGCATGGACAATGAATTCATTCATTCACTCATTAACTACTGTTTTATGAAACTACTTTTATGTACTAGGCATTGTTTCAGGCAACGGGGATATTATGCTTAGTGGCAATTATTCCCATTATGAAGATGCATTCACTAAATATTTGTGAAGTCCATATTATGTGCTAGGCAAGATGCCAAGCATTAAGTTCTAGCAGTGAACAAAGCAACAAGCGTTGACCTTAGCTACGGAAACATGATTGCCAGAGTAAGAGTGTTGCAGACTGCCTGACTCAGAAATCTGTTTGCTCGACAGAAGCTGTTGATGATTTTCTAATTTTCTGAAGTTGATTGCAGGGGATGTTACTAGGTTTTGTTCAGAAGTGTATGCACTTTTGTAATAAATCACTGGTTGATTAAACCCATTTAATAATGGGTTTTGATTGTTACTCATTGCTATAATGGAGAGCAATCAACTCTTTCTTAGGAGCATGAGAACTTTATATTCCCAAAGCTATAAAGAAAAGCATTCCAGGATAAAGAAATAGAGAGAGATGGAGATGCTGTTACATTTGTGCAGAGAAAAGGGGAAAACACAGCAATTTACAACAATATTTGGGAAAGGCAGATGGAAAAAGAAGTGTGATGGTTCTGAATCAAGAGCCTGATGGGCAAACTTGAGAAAGAGGAAGGCTAAGCAAGTAGAGTAAACAAGAGGAAGAGAGGTGTGAGTTACAGTAGGAAAAGTATCCAGGGGCTATTACATGTGATAAACACAAGGCCCACGGGCTGAATCCTGGCCCTCCACCTTGTTTTATCTGGCCGTGTACCTTGTTTCTACCCAGGGCAGTGCCAAGCTCCTTGCCCTTAGTTAAGGAGTAGTTACATTTATACAGTCCTAAAATTACATTCGGACCTTTGATGGCAACCTCGAGGCTGATGTGGCCCCCAGTGAAAATGAGTTTGACACCCCTAGGCTAGATCATATACAATCTTGCAAGGCAAGATTGTGAAAGGAATTGACAAAACTGGCACTTGATTGAATGTGGGATGTAAAAGATATTAAGAACTCAAGCTCCAGTTTCTGCTGTAAGAAACTGAAGGAATGGCCATGACACCCACCGAAACAGGTGCAATCCAGTGCTACAGTGCTATTATAAAAGAATGTACATCAAGGCACAAAAAGAGTTAGCATATAATACATTCAGGGTGGAAGATTAGAACCCATAGAGAGCAGATAACATATGACATGAGTATGTGCTCTCCGGATGGGGTCAAAACCAGGAAATGGGGTCAAAACCAGAACATTCCCTGCCAAAAGCATAGCACAAAAGCATAGCACAAAAGCATAGAAGTGAATATCATCATAGTTATCACCACGAATGAAGAAACCCCAGGAGTTCCGGATATGCCTAATGAGTTCGGACTCTCTTCTTTAGAAATGAGACCACACTTTCCCACTCAGCTGTGCCCAGGTGTCCTCTGATAGTTGCACCAGATCATGATTCAAAGAATAGCTTCTTCTCCTGGACATATATACTTTGTCTTTGTACTTTGAAATTGATTTAGAAACTAGACTGAACTCAGTAACTGAGTCTGAGTAACTCACGGGTACCAGCAAATAAACCAACCTTGAACACTTTTCCCTATCCCTAACATCCTAGAAGAGAGAAACTAGAACTTGTTAGGTAAATCACCCATACTCTCCTCCAAAAGAGGAGCAGTGATCTGAAGAATAAGAGTGAAGCCCGGACAGCATATATGGCGGTTTACTAAAATTCGATTTATTTGGGCCTTAATTAGCATATTGTATACATTTATTTTAGATTCATTCTCTTTTTCAAATGAGAATAAACCTAGAAAATAACACACAATCTTAATATTTCACCACGTTATTCTTATTTTTACAGTTCTTTCACAGTTCCTTTAATTGTTAAAATTATGAGGAAAATAAATTATTTATAATATTTTGAGTTTGCAAGTTCAATAATTTTTTTTCTTTGTATAAACTTTGATCTTTTTTCTTTCTTCTAATATTTGTTCTGGAATCTGTGGATTATCTCAGAAAGAAAAAAATATTTTTTTAATAAAAATTCTCTAAATGCAAATAGTTTTGTCTATTTCTTATACTAGGACTTTTTTTACCATTAAAATATCTGAGCACTGTACTTAGTAGCATGTATTGTGGTTCATGCAACTGCCCAGATGTTAAACTTAGGCATCACAGATTTCAGTTATTTAAATTAAATGATTTATGGAATCCATGGTTTATTTCAAATAGAAAAAATGAACTAATTGAACTGTTGTTAGAGAAAAGGAGAAAACCATATTAGGTTTTGCTGATTGCAACAGTATTTTATTAGCTTCTTTCA